CTGGGGATGTGCCCGCAACCAAGGTACATGCCCTTGACTGGAATCGAACCTGGGACCTTTGAGTCTGCAGGCCGACGCTCTATCCACTGAGCCAAACAGGTCAGGGCAAAACCTCATATACTTTAAGTACAGGCATACCTTGCAGATATTATGGATTCAGTTCCAGATCACAGCCATAAAGCAAATATCACAATAAAGTGACCTCACACCAATTTTTTGTCTCCTAGTGGATATTAAAGTTATGTTTACACTATACATAGTCTATTAGGTGTACAATAGCATTATATCTACAAAGCAATGTACATTCCTTAATTTAAAAATACTTTATTGCTAAAAATGCTAACCTATTTTGAGTTTTCAGCAGTATTTTTGCTGCTTGTTGGAGGATCTTGCCTCAGTGTTTATGACTGTTAACTGATCATGGTGGTAGTGGCAATTTCTTAAAATAAGACAACAGTGAAGTTTACCACATTGATGGACTCTTCCTTTCATGAATGATTTCTCTCTAGCAAGCACTGTTGTTTGATAGCATTTTAACCCTAGTAGAACTTCTTTCAAAATTGAAGTCAATCTCTCAGATCCTGTCTCTGCTTATCAATTAAGTATATGTAATATTCTAAATCCTTTGTTGTCATCTCAACAGTCTTTCAGTCTCTTCTCAAGAAACCATTTCTTTGCTCATCCATAAAAAGCAACACCTGAAATTGCAGTATCTCATTATCATGAGATTGCAGCAATTTAGTCACATCTTCAGGCTTCACTTCTAATTCTAGTTCTTTTGCTATGTCCACCACATCTGCAGGTACTTCCACTGAAGTCTTGAACCCCACAAAGTCATTCATGAGCATTGGAATCAACTTCTTCCAAACTGCTGTTAGTTATTTTTACCTCTTCTAATGAATCGCAAATGTGTGTTTTTTTCCACAGTACACACACACACACACACACACACACACACACACACACCCTATATATATTTATCCTACATATATTTTTTATACTTTTTTCTTTTTAATAATTTTTAAAAAATTTATTGATTGATTAATTTTTAGGGAAAGAGAGAGAGAAAAACATCAATTTGTTGCTCCACCCATTCATATATTCATTGGTTGCTTCTTTTATGTGCCCTGACCAGGGATTGAATCTGCAACCTTAGTGTATTGGGATGATACTCCAACCAACTGAGCGACCCAGCCAGGGCAATAATTTTTTAATTAAAGTTGATGTACAATATTATATTACCTTCAGGTGTACAACCCAGTGATTAGAAGTGATCACCCTGTTAAATCTAGTACCCATCTGACACTATAAATAGTTATTACAATATTATTGGCTATGTTCCCTATGCTGTACTTTACATCCCCATAACTATTCTGTAATTACCAGTTTGTATTCTTAATCCCTTCACCTTTTTTCTCATCCTGCTAATCCCTCTCCCATCTGGCAACTATTAAAATGTTCTTTGTATCTACGAGTCTGTTTCTGTTCCACTTATTCATTTATCTTCTTTCTTGCTTCCACATTTAAGTGAAATCATATGGCATTTGTCTTCATTCTGTCTTATTTCACTTAGCACAATACCCTCTAGGTCCATCCATATTGTTTCAGATGGCAAGATTTTATTCATTCATATATATATTGATATTTATTTATTCATTCATATATACTTATTGATTGATATTTATTTATTCATCCATATATATTGATTTCAGAGAGGAGGGTAGAGGGAGAAGGAGAGAGAAACATCAATGACAAGAGAGAATGAATCATAGATGGGCTGCTTCCTGCCTGCACCACACTGGGGATCAAGCCCACAACCCTGGCATGTGCCCTGACTGGGAATTGAACTGACCTCCTGGTTCATAGGTCGATGCTCAACAACTGAGCCATGCTGACTGGGCCTATGTCCTTTTTAATGCTTATTATCTCTTTTTTTAAATTTTCACCTCAATCATCCATTCTTCCCTTAAGGTCCTTGAGCATCTTTATAGCCATTGTTTTGAATTCTGCATCTGGTATCTTGGTTACTTCCATTTCATTTAATTCTTTTTCTGGAGATTTCTCTTGTTTTTTCATGTGGGGCATGTTTCTTTTGTCCCCATTTTGCCTGCTTTTTTGTGTTTGTCTCTCTGTATTAGGTATATCTGCTATGACTCCCAAACTTGTTATGGTGGTTTTATGTTGTAGGTGTCTTATGGGGCTCAGAGGCGCAATCTTCTAGATCACTTGAACTGAGTGCTCCAGGAATACCTCTTGTGCACCCTCCTGTTGTAGTTGAGTCTTGAATGCTGCTGGTTTGGTTTTGGGTGGGGTTAACCCTCAGGCTGGCTGTCCATAAGGAAAGACCTTGATCACAGTGTATGCAACCACCGTGCAGGGGCTGCCCCTGAGTGGAGTTGTTCCCAGCAGGGTCTGGTGCCTAGCAGGACCCCTCTTAGGGTGTGCCACTTGTGTGGCTAGTTGGGTGAGCTCTGGTGTGGTCTAAAGCCCACTATTGGTAGTGTTGGTTCTGGGTCCACTTGGTTGGTGTTCTGGTACAGGTCGATGTCAGATGCTGCCTGGGATACCTGCCTGGAGCTACCATGCAATTTGCTGTTTGTGGCTGCCTCTTCTGGGCCTGAGTGTGCATGGGAGGGGCCAAGCTGTGAATAAGGGTTGGCTTCGTCCAGCTCTGAGCTGGAGACAGATCAATAAAAGGTCCAAGGCACCCTAAGGTCCACATCTACCTGTTAGCCACTCCACCACTCCTGAGGTTGCCTGGTCTTCCTTGAGAGCCTTCTGAAGGAAGACTAGGGTGGGCCCAGGCTGACTGCTCCCCACAGACCCTTCCAATAGGCATGAGCTCCATGGGGAAGGGTGACTGGGGTCGGGAGGACAGGGCTAGTGGGTCTCCTGCTTTGGAGGCAGCATGGCAATTATTGGGGAAAAGTGGCCCCTACTCCACAGCCATACTACTCAGTCTCTGCTAGAGTCTTCAACCCTAGCTCCCCCAGGAGGAGTGCAGGAGTAAGATCAGCAGGGCAGAGCCAAAAGGACAGGTCAAATGAGTCTCCTGTTGGAGCCATAGTACTGGCTGAACTTGGGAGGTTGGGGGTAAGAATGGCACCTTGCACCATAGCCACACAACCCAGCATCCGTCTGAGTTCTGGACAAGAGCCTCCCAGGGAGACACACTCTGAAGGTCCCAGCCCCGAGCAGCACTCTGATCCCCCTGTGGGACTGAGCTAAGCAGGGCAGGGCCACTGGGAGTCGTAAGGAGAACATCAGGTAGGTGGGCACCAGCTGAGTGTGGGAGTGGGGGAAGAATGGCCCCTGTTCCAAAGCTCAATGACTGTCTGAGTCTCCGCCAATCGCATCTCCAGAAAAAGAGTGTACCAAAGGTCCTGTTGGTGCAGCCAGCAGATCTTTCTGCAGGTCTAGAGCTCAGCAGGGTGGTGCCAGTAGTTGGAGGACTGGGCTAGTGCACTCCCCAGCTGGTGCTGTAAGAATAGGAGTGCTTGACCCTGGGACGATGGTGCCTGAGGGCGGTGTGGGATAGGGACTCAGCACAGGGACCTCAGGGCTATGCCACCCAGATCTTCTCTTTATGACTCCCCTATGCCCTGAGTCACCTTCCCTCTACCAGAGCCCCAGGTGTCTGAGAACAAGATCCTGTGCATTGGCCCTTTAAGAGAGCATCTGGTTTCTAGCGGACTCCTTCTTCCAGGATGACAGAGTCCCAGCTGCTTTTCACAGCCAGATGCTATATGGGCTCCTCTTCCTGGCTCTGGGGTCTCGGATAGGGATCCTGGCATTGTGTGAGGCCCATGCTCCTCACGGAGGACTTTTGCAGCCAAGATATCCCTTCAGATTCTCAGCTGCCACCTGTGGGCGCAGGGGCTAGCCCTTTCATGTCTGTACCCTTTCTACCAGTCTCTATGTGGCTTCTTCTGTAAACCCTTGGTTATAATTCTGTGTAGCTGGTTATTTAGGTTGATTGCTCTATAATTTAGCTGTAAATCTGTTTTGTCACTGGGAGGAGGTGAGTGTAGCTTCCACTCCGTGGCCATCTTCAAAATATGTAGAGTTTTTGAACAGCAAAAGTAGAAGCGTTTCCTGTAGCTATTTCTTCTAAATCTCCATTTGTTTGATTTGATTTTCAGTTAAAGCATTATTGCTTTCCATTTCTGTTGTACTTTATCTTTGTTGGGCAATTCCCTTTTCCAATTATATATTCTTGTAAAATATCACATGGGTTTTCCCTGGGAGATAAGGAGGCAACATAATTGCATGATTTGCTGTCTGCATGTTATTCATCCAGTATGTTATTTAGTATGTTATACTGCATAATAGATGTACAGTGATAATCACGGGTAGACTTTGAAAGAAGGGATGTGGTTGGTCATTGATCATGATGTGCAGCTGTTATTTACATAGGAACCTGGGGACTGAAGACCTAGCAGTGACATTTGTACTTTATACATTACTCACAATGTACATGGCAACTGAAATTTCAACTGTGTGTTGGGGTCTGGTGTTAATGGTTATCTGAGATATGTGCATTTTGGAATTGGGCAAAGCAGGACTGCCTATATTTAAATTTGCTTAAGTAAGTTGTCAATTATTCCTAGAAACTCTTTGATATGTCTTTTTCTTTCCCTGTTTAACCTTCACAGGCTCTTTTAGGCTACTTGATATATTTCTACTTAATAGGCTGATCCAACTCAAGGTGTCTGTAACATAAGTTAACTATGCAGAGTAATAGTAATTTATATAGGACTTGGACTTTGCTGTGGGCAACACTCTTGTAATTATTTTCTCATTTCATTTGATCAGCATTACTCTTTGTTAATCCTCACCTGAGGATATTTTTCCACTGTGAGTGGAAGAGAGAGGGAAAGAGAGAGAGAAACATCGATGTGAGAGAAACACATCGATTGGTTGCCTCCTGCATGCACCAGGGCCCCAGGCCGGGGAGGAGCCCGCAATCAAGGTGCATGCCTTTGACTGAAATCGAACCCGGGACCTTTTGATCTGCAGGCCGATGCTCTAGCCACTGAGCCAAACTGGCTAGGGCTGATCAGCATTACTTTTTACATTTTCCTTGTATTTTCGTCAGCATTTTATCATATTGGGATGGAAGGAGGGAGTAAAGGAAGGTGTCATATTTCTCATTCTACAAGTGAGGTTTTATCCAAAGTTATAACTGAGAAAGCTGGAACTTGAACTTAGACCAAATGTTTTTCTTAACTTTCTTTTGCTGCTTCACATTAGGACATTGTCCTAACCAACTGAAGTTGTTGGAGCCATCCAGCAGGAATAGTTAAGTTGGTGTTACCTTCTTCCCTTCTTTACATTCGAGGGAAGGGGGACTTTATTAGAGAATATTGGGAGTTGGTCAGCATTTTGGGCTTTGGAAAACAAGTCTTTATTTAAATTCCAAAGAAAAGTGTTTAGTGAAAATTAATCATAAAAACCTCATAATTCTAGTTCTAGAAAATTTTAATTCTAATTCAAAATTTAGTTTTTTATATATTAAAAGAAAAATATGTACCCCAAACATTTGCTAAAGAAAAGCATATTAAGGTTCTACAATAGCATATAGTAGCTACCCGTAGTTTTTCATTTTTGGTTCCTTAGGAGCTCTAATTGATTTCCAGTGCTTCTTCTCATTTCTCTTGAAGTACCTAACCACGATATATAAGAGGCCAAAATGGGGCTGGTAGATATTTTGAATAGTCATCTTGGTAGTTCATTCATGGTTTGTTTCTCTCCTTCAGGTAGCAAATTATGGAGTGGGAGGACAGTATGAACCCCATTTTGATTTTGCACGGGTAAGTGAAAACAATAGAGAATGTAGTTCCACTGAAGCTTAGGTATGACATGTTAGTTGCCTAGCCCAAGTGCCATCAGGAGATGAGTGGATAAAAAGCTGTGGTACATGTACACCATGGAATACTACTCGGCCATACCAAAGAAGGAAATCTTACTCTTTGAGACAGTATGGATGGACCTGGAGAGCATTATGCTAAATGAAATAAGGCAGTCAGAGAAAGACAAGTAATGTATGATTTCACTCATATGTGGAATCTAATGAACAAAATGAACTAACAAGCCAAATAGAGACAGACACATAAATAGAGAGCAGGCTGACAGCTGTTCGTTCAGCGGGGAGGGGCTGGGGGAGTGGCAAGATTGAGCAAAAATGGAAAAAAGGAGAAAACTCAGGGACAAGGCCCATAGTGTGGTGATTGTTGGGGGAGGTGGAGGAGGGTATAGAGGGGATAAATGGTGATGGAAGGAGACTTGACTTGGGGTGGTGAACACACAATACAGTGTACAGGTGATGTGCTGTAGAATTGTGCACCTGAAACCTGCATAATTTTGTTAGCTAGTGTCACCCCAATAAATTCAATAAAAGAAAAAATTCCATAGCCTATTTAGAATTCATGGAGGCACGGTGGAATAAATACTCTGTAAAGCCTTTTTAGCAGTAAAAAACACCTAGACGCACAATAAAATAATTAAGAATAGTTTTAAGTGCATTGCTGAACCTGGAAGAAAGTAGAGGAAATTCCCAAAGGCAAACTGAACAAAGAAAATCTGGAGACTAAAATTAGAGGGCTAAAGGGGGACAAAAAAGCTGAGGCTGAGGACATGTATTTCAGGAAACTAGAGTTTTGGGGATTAACAGCCATAGTGTAAGCTACTGAACCTGAGATGCCTGCATAAAACCTAGATCTCCAGAAGGATTACACCTTCAGAGAAAGACAGATGGCTTTGAGTCAGGAGCCGTGGGGAGAGCTGCCTCTCACCGTCCTGGCTAGAGTGGGGTGTGTCTGGGGAGCTGCTTCTGGGAGTTCAAGCATCAGCCTGCCTTCACATGCAGCTCGGGTTTCAAGCTGTACTCCCTGGAAGAGGAAACGTTAATTCAAAGTTGTTCCACTTAGTAGTGCTCCTTGGTGCTGGGCTCCCTGAAGAGAGGCATCCTCATTCTAGCACCTTGAGGATTTTAAAGATTAAGCATCTAAATATGAACTTATTTTTTTTTTAATGACTAAGTGGTAATAAGACACCATTGGTGAGACTAAAGCAACCAACAGATTGAGACATTGTAGGATATTAGATACCTGAATTATCAGGTGCAGAATATAAAATAACTATATAACATTAAGAAAATGTAGGGTAAAATTAACAACCTCTCAAAATGATTTAACATATTTGAAAATGAAGTTCCAGTTGAAAAGTTAAATTTTAAAATTTAGTAGATAAGTTAAAACATATTAGAGACAGCTGAGGTAAATAAGTGAATTGGCTGATAAAGCTAAAGAGATTCTAAGAATAAGTTTTGAGAGACAGGAAGATAAAAAATATAAAATAGATGTAAAGAAACTGGAGAATAAATAGTATCAAAGCAGGATCCTAAAAAGCTGTCATTGCCTAAATATTCTTAAGATTAATAAATATTGGATCTTTTTTATTTAATATATTGAGCTATAAAGTATGGGGGAAGCTAAAACTACAGATGTTAATGTTTTAAATATTCTGTGAATAGTAGCTATTGGTTCTCATTGTTTTAGGTTAATCTGCCCCCCCCCCCCCAGTGGTCTTATCAAAAGTAATCAGTGTACAAGCTGAACCAATAATTTGTGGGGTTTTTTGTTTTAAATATATTTTACAATGGGGCCTTGACTTACGAGTTTAATTTGTTCCGAGACCAAGCTCGTTAACTCAAATTACTCTATCAACTCAATGCAAAAAATCGGCTGGTATCTCAAAAAACTCGTTAGTCGGGACACTCGTAAGTCAAGGCCCCACTGTATTGATTTTTTACAGAGAGGAAGGGAGAGGGATAGTTAGAAACATCGATGAGAGAGAAACATCGATCAGCTGCCTCCTGCACACCCTCCACTGGGGACTTGCCTGCAACCAGGCTACATGCCCTTGACCAGAATCGAACCTGGGACCCTTCAGTCCGCAGGCCAACACTCTATCCACTGAGCCAAACTGGTTAGGGCTGAATCAATAATTTGAATGCCTACTGCTGTTGTGCATTAGATATTATATAGGAACCTTTTGGGGTTGTTTTTGGCATACCCTTCAGCATATTACCCATGTTCAGTTGCCACTAGAAAATTTGCATTACTGAATTTTTCGCCATTGAATTAGTTCTGTTTTATTTACAGAAAGACGAGCCAGATGCTTTCAAAGAGCTGGGGACAGGAAATAGAATTGCAACATGGCTGTTTTATGTAAGTTATAGCTAAAATTTTCATTTTAAGTTGGGACTTGACCACATGACTCATTTATTTTGATGTGTTCAGATGTTTGCTCTTATCATCCTAGTAAAAAGACTTAAAAAATATTTTTTTCAATTATAATATTACAACCTAAAGAAGGAAGTTACACTGATAGTTTCACTACTTGGAGACAGTCATTGTTGATCTTTTGTTGTATGGACTGTTTAGTCATCTAAGCTTCTCCATATTGTTCATATGAATTTTATATTTGCAGTCAGATGGTGACTGCAGATACTCACATTTTCATAATTTTGTTGTATACTTTTCTGATATGATGTATATCAACAATAAATTTTCAGAGTGAACACCTCGTATAGTCAGTGTTCAGATCAAGAAGTAGCACCCTAGACGCCCATCAAGGGAACCATTCTCACATTATTAAGGTTTGAAAAACAGTGTGCTCTTTACTTTTAAGTACATATAGAAAAAAATTAAGCTTTGATCATAATATTTGCCCTAGTTAACTATTGCTGCATAACAAATCATCCAAAAACTGAATGGTTTGAAATAATGTTTTTTTATTGATTTCAGAGAGGGAGGGAGAAAAACCAATGTTAAGAGAGAATCATTGATTGCATGCCCCCTACTGGGGATCGAGCCTGCAACCGAGCATGTGCCCTGACCAGGAATCGAACCATTACTTCCTGGTTCATAGGTCAGTGCTCAACCACCAAGCCACTCTGGCTGGGTTGTTTAAAATGATTTTATTTTACCCCACAGTTGTTAGGCTCACTGGGTTTTGCTTGGGTTCTTCTGGCTCTCTCATGCGTGTGCAGTCAGATGATGATGAGAGGTAGGGTCCATCTTGAAGGCTGACATGGAGGCTGGCTGTTGGCCAGAAGACATCCATGGGGCTTGGGCTTCCTCACATGGTGACTGCAAGAACAAGTGTCCCCCCAAAACAAGGCAGAAAGTGTGGGGCACTTTTAGTGCCTATCCTCAGAAGTCAGAGAGTGTCACTTCTGCTCTATTTTATTAATTGAGGCAACTGCCAAAGTTCAAGGAGAGGGGACACAGACCTAACCACTCAAGAAGAATGTCATGTAAAAAGAGCGTGTAAGAATAATATATTTGGAAAATACAATCTGCAATGTTGTAATCTTTGTTAACTTATAAAAAGATATCTTAGCCTGGGTGGCTCGGCTGGTTGGAGCATCGTGCTGTACCCTAAATGGTGTGGGCTCAGTTCGAGGTCAGGGCACATACCGAGGTTGCAGGTTCAATCCCTAGTCGAGGTGAGTACAGGAAGTAACTGATTGTTGTTGCTCTCTCACATCAATGTTTTTCTTTCTCCCTTCTCTCTCTGAAATTGATAAATATATACTTAAGTGAGGATTTTTTTTTAAAAAAGTTAATTTTTTTACTTATTTCCTAATTCTTTCCATCCCCTACCCCCAAGTAAATTATATAACTATTGTAACTCACTCCCTGCCAAAATCTCTATTTTCTTTCTTGCTCCCTGCAACCTTCCCTGTATCCAACCCAACCTCTTCACCATTTTCATCCTCTCATAACTTCATTTTGTTTCCAAAAAGATCTAAGATGCCATTGGAAGAGGAGGGGGGAGATTTAAAGTACCATCAAAAAAGGATTTAAGACTTACAAATTTTTTAAGTGAGAGCAAATTATCACAAAGGGAAAACCAGGAGAGAAGTTGATACATTATATAAAAATTATGCTGTGAGTCTTCTCTACTTTTTAGAGATGAAATCTCCAGCGATTGTATTAATTTACATCCCACCTTTAAGTGTGATGTATATGTCAAACTTCTTGATCTGTACCCCTTTCACTTACCAGATTGGCAGTTATTGTGGTTTTAATTAGCATTTCTCTGATTAGGGAGGTTGAGTATCTTTTCAGATGTTTAAGAGCCATTAAACATTTGTTTTGGCTGCATTTGTTTCTTCCTTTTATGAATATCATGATGCTATATTATTTGGTCCAATATTCATTTATAGTAGATTATTTGACTATGAGATTATGTTAGATTAATTATTATACTGCCTTCTAATCACATAACATTTTGATTAGATTAATATTCATCCCCCCTCTTTATGTGGCTCACCTAGGAATAGTATTCAAATAATTTCTCCAAAGTTATTTTCTGGTTTTTTTTAATAAGTCTTTTTAATGATTTCAGAGAGTGAGAATCATTTATCGGTTGCCTCCTGCACGCCCCCACTGGGGGTCAAGCCTGCAACCTAGGCATGTGACCTCCTGGTTCATAGGTCAATGCTCAACCACTGAGCCACGCTGGCCAGGTCCAAAAGTTATTTTCACTGCTGTTAGTTCTTTGTTACTGGTTATATATTTTTCATGGTAAAATACCCTTTTTTTCTCTCACTTTTAATGTTTTTACCTTAAGGTCATTCTGTTCAGAGGTGATCCAGCCTGCAAGGGTGGTGTGGTTTGGGAGCACCACAGCTGTGGAAGTTCATCTTCTACTCCTCTCTTTCCTGGTCCTTCCGTAGTCCATGTTGGCCCACAACATGGGACTCTGAGAACAGGGCCTTGGTACCTGTTGGGCACAAAGTCCTGTGAGGCCTGCTTCCCCCAGCGCATTTTCTCACTCTCTCTCTTTGAGCACAGCTCTGAATGTCAGATTCTCTCTGTCCTAGTGTGTTCATTCTTGGCTTGCTCCACTTCTATTCACAAGTAAAATGCTTAGGAATGCCCAGGATGTGAGCCGTCCCACAGCCTCCTGCCGCTCCTCCTGGGGACAATCCCACTTTGAACTCACACTGTTTGAACCTTTGGCAGATATTAAAGGAAACGCCTACTTCTTGATGTTTTCTTTGTGCAGCATTTGCCTGGCAAATCTTATGTTTTCAGTGTTTGTAAGTTCTCCTGTTAGATGTGACTAGTGGACATAGCATAGAGTGGGGGTTTAATCTGTCGATACCTTCTATGTGCTTTTGAAAAAATCACTATAGGGTTTGTTTCCTTTGCCATGTTTTGTGCGTGTGCTTCAGTTAATTTGGAAGGTTTGTGTTTTTATTCTAGGTTACCTTTAAGACTATAACTATAGAATCCTTTCCTCTTCTACTTCTCAGTTAATATATGTTGATTCCCTACCACAAGAAATGACAAAACTGATTTTAGTTTGTTCTTTTTCTCTTGGTTTTTATTTCATTCTTGATACTGTTTCTAGACACTAAAGCTCAGCAATGAACAAAACATGAAAATTCCTGCCCATGGAGATTATATTCTAGTGTAATAAAATATGTATTATACCCCTGTATTACTTGGCTTATCAATTTTAAACCATCCTTTTTATCTGTCTATAAGTGCCTTTCCCAAATTATAGTCCCATTTCTCTTCCTAACTTTATAATTCCTTTGCTTTATATATTTATATATAATTTTACTTAAGTATGCAAACCTAAACAGCATCTTTTGTTTTCTAAAAACTGAGTATGTACAAACCCATCTATGTAAGTAGAATTCCAGATATTAATGTATTCTAGTATTCAGTATCCTATCCGCCACACAGTAGCATGTTTAACTTTATTCCATCAGCACTTTGGTAATACTCTTATCTCTTACAGATGAGCGATGTGTCCGCAGGAGGAGCCACTGTTTTTCCCGAAGTAGGAGCGAGTGTTTGGCCCAAAAAGGTAAATTTGGTTTGTGTCAGATGCATCTATAATTCATTAAATCACAAAATAAATGTTTAAAGGTAGTATATTTATGTCTAGGTAAGACTATGGATTCTTCTATGGCACCATTTACCATGACTGCCTAGAGCAGTGGTTCTCAACCTTGGCTGCACATTAGAATCACCTGGGAATCTTTTTAAAATCCTGATTTCTGGGCCACATCCTCCAAAAATTCTGTTTGTTATGGGGTGGGGCCACAACATTAGTAACAAAGAAACAGAATTTCTGGAGGATGAGGCCCAGAAATCAGGATTTTAAAGATTCCCAGGTGATTCTAATGTGCAGCCGAGGTTGAGAACCACTGGCCTAGAGTAATGAACCACCAAGAATTAGTGTTTAAAAGTTGTCATTTCTAAAATAGGTTCCAGATGAGTTTCCCCCTCCATCCTGCTAATGTTAGTTTTGTTTTGGCGAATACCCTTGTTTGTCAGGCAGCTGGGCAGTAGTGTTTTCGTGTGATCACCAGAATTTTATAAATGACGATCATATTTTCAGAATTATATTCGAGGAAGATATGGCTGCCATAGAGGAGTACTTTCAGGGGAGCAGGGGAAATGTAATTACTGCAAAGAGTTATAACCTGGAATTTTATTTGGGGGTAATTATGTATTCTCCACAGGGAACTGCTGTTTTCTGGTATAACCTATTTGCCAGTGGAGAAGGAGATTATAGCACACGGCATGCGGCGTGTCCAGTGCTAGTTGGAAACAAATGGGGTAAATATTTTCTATATTCTCTGAACAGAATTTGTGATTATTGTTCCATATTTGGAAATTATTATAATCTACATCTTAAAGAAATTGAAAACAAAACTTTCAACAGATTTGCCTGCTATGACTTTAACATTAAATGGATTCAACCAAGCAAGTTACCGATCTTTTTTTTTAAATCCTCATCCTAGGATATATTTTCTATTGATTTGTAAAAAGAGAGGGTGGGAGAGAGAGAAACATCAATCAGTTGCCTCCCGTACTTGCCCTGACTGGGGATTGAACCCGAAACCTAGGTGTGCCCTGATCAGGAATCAAACCTGTGACCTTCTCCTGTAAGGGACAATGCTCCCACCAGCGGAGCCACCTGGCCAGGGCAAGGTACTAATCTTAATATAAATTTACTTTTAATAGATCAGAATTTTGATGACAGATTATTTCTACTCTAAGAATCGTTAATTGACTCAAAGTTGAATAAGACAGTATCTTCCCCTTAAGGGTTCACAGTTGTCTCTGAGACATGCTAATGGATCGCTTATCGTGTCGTACAGACTAGTACAAAGATGTAAATGGAAGATGGCGACTCCTTACACTTGGGGAGGCTTCTTCAAAGCCTCATTTTTTTTTTTTTCAAAGCCTCATTTTTAAATTTGGTCTTGGGGATAGAAAATACTTTTCCAGGCATGTTAGGAACCAGGACTGTTATGGGTGAGAGAGGCACTCACTGTCAAGGTCATGAAGCGCAGGATTTGCCACATTAAAAAAAAAAAGTGAAGTTATTTTAATATATATTTTAACCCCCATTTTAATATTTTAGTGTGTCACTAGCCAAATTTCTAGTGCCCAGTGTGTCTAGTGCCTACTGTATGAGACGTAGGAAGATTAAGGAGTGACACCTGATCATCAGGATTTTAAAAATCTTCCCTGATGATTATGTTTGGGAACCACTGGACGTGAATGGAGAGAGGCTAGTGAAGGAGATCAGTTTAGAAAGATTTTTCCATTGTCTAAGTCAGTGGTCGGCAAACTCATTAGTCAACAGAGCCAAATATCAACAGTACAACGATTGAAATTTCTTTTGAGAGCCAAATTTTTTAAACTTAAACTATATAGGTAGGTACATTGTTATTAACTTAATTAGGGTACTCAAGGGGCCAAAGAGCCGCATGTGGCTAGCGAGCCGCAGTTTGCCGACCACGGGTCTAAGTGGATGACAATAAAAGCCTGGACTTAGGCAGCAGCAAAAGGATCGGAGAGCAAAGAAAATCGGCAGGTGTGATGAATAAAAGATTGGGTACAGGAGCTGAGAAAGGTAAACAAGTAGTTAAGAATTATGGGTCCTAGTTCAGATATTTTGTACATGTGAATGCCATTGATTAGATTCTGTGATATAGGAGAAGGAATAGGAAATTAATTAATTTGGGGTTACATTAGAAAACAGTATATTGGAACCCAGGAAACTTAGTGAGCATTTAATAATAGGGACCAATCATAGAGCTGCTCCTTTAGAGTGAAGCCTATGTTCATTTAAAAATGTCTTTGTATTAGAGGTTTGTATTTTGCAAACAGGTAAAAACAGTGTTCTGTTCCATTTTTACCTACATTTTAATTTGTGTTTCATTTCAAGCATTATATTGGACATTAGAAATAGGATACACACATATGTAGACTCTCATTTCTAAAATCTTCTGTGGCTTAATTAGTTGGAGCATCGTCCTGTGCACCAAAAGGTAGTGGGTTAGATCCCCAGCCTGGGTGCTTACAGGAGGCAACCAATTGATGTTTCTCTCTCCCCCTTCCTCTCTCTATAAAATAAAAATTAAAAATCCTCATGTGAGGGTTAAAAAAATAAAATTGTGTGTTTCCAACATCTAGTGACATATTTAAAAGACTAAGTAGCATCTGCCTTTATCTAGTTTTGGTCTTGAGCTTTTAGACCATGTAAAAATTTTATTCTAGAACTTGCTCTTATCGATAAATTAAATACTAGTTAGAGGAGAAATGAACACATTTTGTTCTCTCACAGTGTCCAATAAATGGCTCCATGAACGTGGACAAGAATTCCGCAGACCGTGCACCTTGTCGGAGTTGGAATGACCCATAGACGTCTCTTCCTCTCCTGCTGCCCTCGGATGTGTCTGACACACAGTCCCCGTCTTAACTGTCAAGAGTTTACAAGTGACTAACATACACTCCATGACTGATTCGTTATGAACCTCATCCCGTGTTTCATCTGTGGACAATCACTAACTTTGTGGGTTTTTTCTTTTAAAAGTAACACTAAATCACCACATTGTACAATATAAAACCTTAAAGTTCAGTTGGTATCACAGAGGACAAAGCAAGGCAGTTAAAAATGAGGAATTTTTACATTTGTTAAAGAACATTCTGGTTAGATAAAAAAATACACCTTACGCATCTGATGATAGCATAGCACTGCATCTCAGTTGGTGGGTGGTCGGGTAGAATGGGCCGTGCGATTAAGGAAGAGATGCCTGTAGTGTGTACCTGGTACTGTGTTTACGTCCTAGTCTGTCTTATTTTCCGGATCTGCCGAAGACTAGGAATAAACTAGGCCTCTAATCTCGGTTCCATACAATGTGTGCCCCTCCCTCCACTTTCTAAGTAGATTTTTTCCTCCCAAGTCCTTTTTAAAGAAAGTATATTGTATTTTACCAATCCCCTTTTCCTCTCATAGCTCCTTTGAGGAGAATTAAATCTGTGTGAGGTAAAATACTTTGATTTAAAAATTAACAGAAAGCCCTATATAACAACACTGGGGCTTCTTAACTAAACTGATCATCACTTGGTCTGTTTCTTTGTCCTTTTCCTAAATGACTGATGATTTTGTCCATAAAATTTGCTGTTTTTCTTAATGCTAATACCTTGCCTCTTATTCTTGCTACAGCAGGGTGGTGATACTGGCTTTCTGATTAAATATTGTGCCTTAGGAGACTGGAAATTTAAAAATGTACAAGTCCTTTCAATGATGAGAAATTGATTTTTTTTAAAAAAGATCTTTTTTCCTAAAAAGCCAAAATGTTTGTTTCTTCAATTCTGAAATGTGTTGTGACAATGATGACATATTTATGATCTTAAATCTTTTTTTAAAAATGTTTCTGTTTTCTGTGTCGTATTTTTATATGTGAATGCATACTATAGTGACAACAGGTTACTTCTATTTAATTCTTTAATACACAGGACTTGGGTTTATCCTCTTGGTTTCCATTCACTCTGGTATCTCATTTTTATGGAAGAAAAATCTAGGCTTTCTGAACTCTCAGCTATTTAATCAACCTAAATATGTTTCCTTTAAAGGGAGCTCTATGGTTATGGGGTTATTACAATAATGGTACTTAAGACTTTCTCTTACTAAAATACATGGTGTGGTAGTATAAAGCTGTGGACCTATTGAAGTATGTTAATGACCCCTTAGACTAACTTTTTACATTTCTTATGGTGAATTCTAGTTCATACAAGGGCTTTTTTTCCTTTATGCAATATTTAAATATTTAAGAAAAAATTTGATTCTCTGGCAAAGAAGGTATTACTTTTACCAATTAAAAAAAAAAAGTCAATGATCCTTTTCCCAGCTACCCTTTTGTTCCACCACGACTACTTTATAAAAAATACTGAGAATTAAGTTCAGTACTTCAATCTACTCAAATTTTGTGGCCATAAATGTTTAAAAAATTTTTTTTTTTAGAAGGAAGCAACATTACTTCAAAAATTTAGAAATAGCCCAGCTTGTGTGGTTGAGCATAGACCTCCTAGGAGGTCACTGTTCCATTCCTGGTCAGGGCACATGCCCGGGTTGCGGGCTTGATCCCCAGTAGGGGGCATACAGGAGCCAGCCGATTGATGTTTCTATCTCTCCCTCTCCCTTCCTGTCTGAAATCAATAAAAATATATATAGTAATAAAATAGGGTTCAAAGGATGGAAACCAACCTTTATTGCCATGTGTTTTAGCAAGTGGTGTCAGAAAGAAATAACATTCCATACTCTTAGATTTCCTTGTTATATTCAACCCCATGTGGGGATTGATAAACTCTTTTCAGTGTTAGATCTTACAGAACCTCTCAAGTTTCATAATTACTATTTTTCTCTCCAAATGAAAAGAACAAAATGCCAGTATAAAGCTTTGGATCCAGTGATCTTTGCAATCCTTTTTGTTGTTGTTTAATGGTGAACTTTCAAATTACTGAGGGCTGTCATGGGAAATGTGGAAACTGGTTTCCTCATCAACCCGAAGTGCCTGTCCTTCATCACTGAAGCATGGAGTCATCACAGCCATCACCATGCAGCGAACGGAAATAACCACCAGAACGCTGAACAGCAGGTGAGTGAGTGTGGTAACCATGTGATAACTTGGTAGGATTTTTTTTAATTTAATGACTAGCATTCTCAGGAAAGCGAAACAGTAAATGCAATGATGAAAGAAGTAATCAACCATCTACTTTGTTGAAAATATAATCAAATGGTAATTATACTCACCACCATGCAGCGAACGGAAATAACCACCAGAACGCTGAACAGCAGGTGAGTGAGTGTGGTAACCATGTGATAACTTGGTAGGATTTTTTTTAATTTAATGACTAGCATTCTCAGGAAAGCGAAACAGTAAATGCAATGATGAAAGAAGTAATCAACCATCTACTTTGTTGAAAATATAATCAAATGGTAATTATAGTGTAAGAGGATTGAGAAGAGTTAATGAAAGTGAAAAGACATAAATAATATGTAAACTAGTGTGTGTATATGTGTATGATCTTATTGCTGCTGAGAAGAACCTAAATATCCTTACAGAGCCATGTGTTGACTGGTTGTGTGTATACAAGGTGTCCACTTAAGTCTGTCTACTGAAGAATGAACAACTTACATGCAGGGCCCCATGGGCTAAACAATTGAATTACTGGATCTCGCATTAAGAAATTCACAGTATCATACCAAAACAACACGACAAGAAACACCCAACCATGATTAAATAACTATAAGTCACTTGAGGCAGAACAAACAGAATTACAAACCAGAGATCGCTAGGAGGAGGCAGGATGAAAATGACACCTCAATCTGTATGGCTAGCACTAACTTCACTGTGGTAAGAGTTGGTGTTTTAGAAGAACGACATTAGATTGCTTAGAGAAAAAGGAATGAATTAACACTAGAGGACCAAATGGTCAAATTTCACATTCCTATTCTAAAGTCCTTGAATATTGATGAGTTTTGCAAAATGAACTGTAATGTACAGTAAAGTTCTTGGCTGCCTGCTTTATTAACCTTTATTTATGGACTGTAGAGTTTACTTTTAGTGTAAATGTAGCCTTCACTTAAATATATAACCATATTTTGATGCAGGAAGAGCGAGTTACTAAAAAACACACATTAATAGTAAGGAAGCCCTATCAAATGTAAAAGCAGATTTTAAATAAAAGGATGACCACAGGGAGTGGAGGTCCTCAGTCCGCTGTTGGAGACCTGCTGAATCCCCACCACAGCACGTTTCTGTTGAAATTGGTTTACAAAGCAAGATAATCACAGATAAAATAGGCCCTACAGCATATGAAAAAAGAAAAGCCTTAGATTTGATTGTTCCAATTTCCTAACAGGCTTATTTCTAACACAAATATGTCTTGGGCTTAGCACCTTAAAAGACTCAGAATAGAACACTTTACATAAAACATGTAGCGTGATGTGCACTTTTGCATTTCAGGGCTTTTTATGTTGATGAATCATGTATTGAGTCAACCTTTTCTAGAAGAGGCTTTCTCTTATTTTTAAGTCCACAGAGAGCCAGGGTTATTATTGTAATATCGACTTGAAAGCCATACATGTAATTAAACTCCACTGTAATGTAGGTTTCTATATGGGTTTGGGTATATCAGGTGTTAAACCGTATTATGTAAATAACTACATAATAGTTAACATCTTATGACAGATACCTTATTCTTTGATACCTGTATAATGAAGCACTGTAGTTAGTTCTTAGTAGATGAAATAACATAATAGTTGGATTTAGTTCATGTTCTATTTTTACTTTACATTTAAGAAGCAAAAAGTTAGGGTGCTGGGACATGAAACACCTCTAAAATTTTTATCTGAGATAGAAAAAAAGTGGTTTTGAGTAAAAATAATCGGTATTATCTTTCCCATATTCCACTTTTACTTATAGACTATGGGAGGTTCAAGTACAGTAATAATTACAAGTGCTCTGGAAGAGTGCCCTTGGTGTGGTTTGCAGAGGAATTGGCATGGGGCTTGTTACTAGTCCACAATGATATAAGGAGATTATGTCAAAATAGAAATAAGCTACATCAAAGAGTACATGGTTTCGTTCAGCTGGCTTTTTTAAAAAATGGTTTTTTTATTGATTTTTTTTTTTTTTTTTTTTAGGAAGAGAGAAAGGGAGAGGGTGAGATAGAAACATCAATGGTAGAGAATCAGTATCAATTGGGTGCCTCCTGCACGCCCCCCACTGGGGATGAAGCCTGAAACCCATGTGCCCTGACTGGGAACAGAATCGGTGCCCTCCTCATGCATGGGTCAATGCTCAACCACTGAGCCACACTGGCCGGTGGTTGGCTTTTTACATAGCAAGCTTTTCATGATGAAGAAAACAGTGTGTTATTTACATTGTAGTATAAATTTTAAAATACCAGTGAGAACCAGCTTTAAATAGCACTGCTCTAAAACAGTACAAATTGTTTTGATTCTACATTTTTTAAGAGCACTAAGAGTTTCATATGCATGGTTTGGATCTTGGGGTAGGAAAGACAGACTTTATATGTCCTAGCAAAATGAGAAAGATAATTCAGAATAATTATTTAGCTTTGCAAATGTTTCAAGGAATCAACATGTTTACATTTTAGCATTCTGTCCTTAAGGTGATAGGTTTGGATCAACATTTCCTCTAGTTCAAAGACCATTTAATATGACTATTTTTTAAATGTCTTATACCAGAATATCAGTGCTAGAGGAAGACACTGATAGAAGCTCCAGACAGCGTTCCCCCACTGGAACATGAAACTAACAACTAGAACTGGGGTAAAGTAACTTTATAGAGACCCGGAAAACAGCCAGAGGTTTACAGAAACCAAGTGAAGACCCATTCAAGTAAAATCCACATTCAAAACGGTAGGAATTCTCATGGTGCTTTTGCTTATCTGTACCCTACCCCAAACTGGTGCAGCACAGCTGGGAGGAAGTAGCTCCCCCATACCCAGTTCCCTCTTTTAAACCAGAGTGAGCCGAGCAGACTCTGTTTATAATGTTCTAGTCTGTTTGGAAGCTCGTCTGTTTCCAGGGGTGGGGAATGTCCGGCCTGTGGGCCGTATAAGGCCCTAAAATCATTTGGTATGACCCTGCCAAGGCATTAGGGGTGAGTTAATGTTTGACCAAATATAGCAAGATAACTTCTAAGTTGATAATTTTGTGTGGCCTGCAAATGATGTAAATATCCAAATGGCCCTTGGCAGAATAAAGGTTCCCAACCCCTGGTTTAACCTAACTCAGGGCTCAGATAGGGGAAAGGGCGGAGCTAGAAGCATCCGGCACTACTTGTTAAAGCTTCAGGGGGACGGCAGACTTGCAGGTGGTGGAGGCAAGGGATTAGAGGGAGTGGAATGCAATAGGAGGCCTTAAAAAAAGACTGGGGGCAGACTTTTAGGGAAAGTAAGACATTAAAAAGTGGCCACATGTTTGGGGAGATAAAAAAAAAAAAAGACAAATCCAGGGTAGGGCAAGATACATGTCAAGAAGAGACCTTAAGCTACCATCCCAAGCTGATTCTAAGGATGAGAAAATGCCCTAATTACTGAAGGTCTTCCTCAGCATGGTGCCAGTCTGCAAAGACTGGGAGAGGTAGGTGTCTTTTCAAATACTTAATTTTCAACCAAAAAGCAAAATTACCAAGTATGCAAAGGAACAGGAAAACATGGCCCATTCAAATGGAGAAAAAATGATGTGGAAAGAACCACTTCTGAAGAAATGCAACACTAAACAAAAGCTTTAAAACACCTGTTTATGCTCAAAGAGCTACAGAGAAATATGGACAAAGAACTAAAGAGTGAGGAAAATGTTATATGAACAAAATGAGAATTATCAACAAAAGGATAAAAAAG